TTTTGTTTATGCTAACAGCAACATGACCAACATGTCAGGATAACAATCAACATATACCGAACTGAACTGAAAACCGTGACCACGAAACGTTGAACCGACCATGGATTTTGTGAACCGTTCCAGCCATAGTGTGCTGTGTTCAGGGCTGTCGCAGGTAGGCTGTGAGGCTCTGCTCTTTGATATGGGTGCATAATTGAGCATGAATAAAGGTTGATTTATGCTTGATGCATTTTATCACCCATGTTTTCCTATGCAGGCTCAGTTTTCCTCACTGTGCAGATAGAAACATCTGTAACCACAGAGAAATATGGTCCATAAATATTGCTACGATGAACAGATTATGACCGACCCTTGGAAAGAAACTGTCAATCATGGATGATCCAAAGAGGCATTGATAATGTTGGTATAAAAAAAACAAACAGTACATTCTGTTTCTACTTGTAGTGTGGTGTAACATTGCAGTCTGTCTTAAACCCAACCCTAGAGTCGGCCAGAACATTAGGCACAGAGGAGAAAAGTTACACAGAGAATACAATGCTATTAAGGCATTGAAGCCCTGATATGTGACGGCTCTGACTGTGTTTTTATTCATACATAAGTTGTCCATTGTGAAGATATTCCAATATTAAAGCTGAGAGATTTCCAATCTAAAGTCCGTCTAACTCTCATTGCTTCTGCTGTTTTTTAAAGAATGAAAAGTTAAAAGCCATAGCAGAGGATTAGAAATCACACCAGGCAACAAATGCTGAAGCCTCTGATTCCCAAAGTGCAGGCCTGACACCACTGCTTAAACATCAACGAACAGTGTTTTTTGATTTTATTATCTTATTCAATGAAAATGTCTTTTTTTAGATGTTAAACCACCTCAGGCTGTTTATTTCCATATCTAGGATTTATGACTCGGATATTGATATCTAAATTCGGCTCTCAGCTCACAGATGGAGCCTTTAACCACGATAAGGCTGCACCATAATGACATGTAGGGGAAGTGTCAAAGAGCTTTAATGACATGTTAAAATTTTGGCTTCCTTTTAAGTACAATTTTGGCTTTGTGGGAAATGTTCTTAGTAGTAATTGCGCGGTGTTTTGTGAGTGCCATCAGGCTGCTTCTTTAGCTCTGTGAATAGTTAAAGCAAATGGATCAAAACCCCTCAAAGTTTAAGGCCGCTTCAGCTCCAAAGCATCTGTGCGGCGCATCACAAGGCAGCGTTTCACAGCGGAGGGCTGCATCAGACCTGCACCAGCCGGGGCATGACAAAGCATCTGTTTGTGTTGTGTTTGCTAGCCATGAGCTTGGCCTCATTTTGCATAAGTTGTGTAGCGATGGACATGTGACGGAGGGAGAGACTGTGGGGGAGAGAGAAATAACGACGAATCTCAAACAAGACAAAGAGCATTTGTGTTTTTGTAACTTTCCCACTGCTCCCCCCCCCCTTTTCTTTCCTCCCCTAGATTGTTTTGCTAAAAAACTTAATCGTGCCCTTGACTGCAAATGGCTGGTTGTCATGTGGATCTGTTTTTAGGTCTCTGCATGGGTAGAAATAACTGGCAGCAACAGCAGATCATAGCATCAGATAATCCCATGTGTTTGGTTGTATCGTTCTACTCAGACTAATTAAATGTTTTCCTTTAGAGGCATTGTGCATGCAGGTCCTTTATTTTCATATTTCTTTGTAAAAAAGTTTGTTTCAAATGAAACAATTTGTTTTCTATTCAATGATTGCTTCGTTTTAATTTAAAAATATAGTTTTTTTTTAAGTACAAAGTTTTCAGAATGCAAACCTAATGAGTTGAGATGAATATATAGGTATGTGCAGCCCTATATGCAGTATGTAGACTCCTTTCCTCAGCCTCCCGCTCTGTGCTTCCCCTCCCACTGCAGTGAGGAATGATGCATCAGTGCTGCTGTGGAGCCTACAGGAAGTTCTGCTTTGATAGGCCAGTAGGGAGGCAGCACAGTAGTAGCTCTGACATGCGTATGCATCGCTGAACCACAGCCAGGACACACTCGCAGCATTTTGATGACATCACCCGCCCACACTGCGCTCCCGCCTCCCCCCCCCTCCTCTCTCTCTTTTTGCCTAACAGAGAAGAGCAGTAAGAGAACAAGAGCTTGCTCCAGGGAGGAGGAGCTGGCCATGAACGAATAGCAAGGGAGAGAGAGATTGAGGGGGGGAAAGGGAGGAGGGTTTCTGACAGTGTTAGCAGGCTACAACTGGCACACACAGGAAGACAGAAGGAGATGGAATATTACTGAATACTAACACTTTATGTTGCTGCGGTTTCTTTTGTACGATGAGCAAAAGTTTCTCTGCAGTTTTTGTCCTGAATCCTTTCTGGATCGTTCTGTTCTGAAATGGGGATGAGGGACTCTGTGGACTGGCAACTGGGCAGCAGGAGCTGGGTCGGAATACTTTTTAATCAAAAAGTATAGTCCTACTTTTTTAATTGACCGGTAGGGAAGAAAAAGGGAAAATATTTCCACTTTTTAATTTTACCCTAACAGTTCTCTCAGGGTGACTGGTTTCACCCTCTGCTGCGGATGCTAGTGAGCAGCGGCGGTTTGGGAAAGAGTTGCTAGAATCGGTCTGAACCGTGTGCGGCAGGTGAATATTACCCAGGAGAAAATGCTCTGATATTTTTTTTTTGTGTGGGATGGGCGATAATGAAAACACCGGGAACCCTGTGATCACCGTGCCTTAACTTTTGCGAGCCACCATGCTGAGCCTGCAGGATTCAGTGTTCTTTGAGATCAGCATCAAATCTCTCCTCAAGTCCTGGAGTAGCAGCTGTGAGTATCCTGATGAGGGAGCATACATGTTTACATACCGTGCCCAGTACATCCAGACTTTATCTCTGCCATCAGCAGCTTACTGCATGCTATGATTGGAGTTTCCATATCTCATCTGTACATAAAAAAAATAAAAAAAGTTGCAAAGATGAGTAATGATGTTTAGTCTCGGTTTAGTCAGGCTTGTTTAGGTGTATGCAGGTGGTGGCATACAGCTAAAGCAAGTGAACCTGAGCTCATTCCTGCTGAGTCCCATCTCTTAATGTTCATACACTGATTTATGATACAGTTAGACCTGATATCCTTTCTGTCGTCTTATATCTGCCTCTTACATCTTCCAACACATCTTATCTTCATACACAAATCGCAGTTTAGTCTTCCCGAAAAGCACTCTGCTACATTCTGTTCCCTATCCTCCCTCTTCTGTGTGTACCTCCTCTCCCTTTCCTCGGGGGCAGCTAATGTTTCCCTGCTATTGATCTGTCTTTTAGCTTCCTCCTATTATTAGCTTTCGATGCTCTGTGTAATACATTAGGAAACAAAAACCACTTCCTCTTCAGTGTCATTGAAAGACATTTCTAGTTGAGCGCTGCCCATAGGCTGAATCCTCAAAACAGGGAACACAAATCAACATCCAGGTAAACAAAATAAATTTTAAACACGCACATTTTTAAGGAATAAAATAATCTACAAGATTAACTGTGAAAAATTTAAACTGATTATTCACTAACAAGTAGTTAAATAATTTACTGAAGGTGTGCAGACTCTGAAAAACAACCCAATAAGAGTGTTGAGGCTGAAACTGTGAGAAAATATCCTCTATCCAGAGCTTCTAACGGGACTTTTCTCAGCATTAAATGTACTTATTTTTTTTTTTAGCCATTCACAATGAATTTGAAATGTGAAATATTTTTTTTTACCTCAAACTTTTTTTTTTCTAATAAATGTATACTTGTCAAAAAGACAATATTAATAATAAAAAAAGAGAGAAATACTAGAATACTAGAATGATTACTACGGCCCTACATTTATTTAAAATGTTAAGTTAAAAGCCTCAACACAACGCAGAACAAGTTTAATTTTTTTTTTTTTTTGTTTCTTTAAAAAAAAAAAGCTATACAGACAATCTCTTTTAAAAGAGCTGAATTTTGATTACTAATCATACAAATAAATGCAAAAGCATATGAAAATTTCAGTAACGCATCATGTAACATTAAGTAAAATGATGCATTAAATGGATCAAACTCTTGTTTTTTCAAGTCTTTGTTGCTGTTAATTCTAGAGTTCCTGGTCAGAGGGAATAGAAAGTGGATTTTAAAGATGAGCATATTACATCGGCCTAATAAGAACGGCATGTTTAAAGCTGCCTAAAGCTTATTTGACAAACGAGCCCTATCAGAAAGCATATTCTATTTTATCCAATGTGGCTGTATGTCATTAGTCTTCTTTAAGCAAAACCTAAAGCTGTCCTCTGCTTCATAGCCTGTATGATGTGCCCTGCTTTAAACAGCTCCTTTCCTAAAATATATCTAACACTGTGGGTACAGGAGGTCAAATGGTACAGATGTACAGAGAGCCGCAGCAGTAACTCTTTATCACCATCATCTTCACTGCAAGGCATTAAACATTTCTTGGTCTAGTCCATACAGAACATGGTAGCGTTTTCAGAAACAACCTGTATGTCCAGTCAAGTACTCCCAGCACCACTGAAGGTGCTGTAGTTTTTATGCCAGGCCCCCTGGTGGCACTATGAAACTGAAAACCTTAACACAGATAACTTCTTATTCTATGTAACTTCAACAACATGGATGCAAAGAGATCGTCAGGCTGTTTTGGTAAGACAATTGATGCTGTGGCATCAGCCTTAAACAAAGATGGTCCGCTGAGACATTTTTAAACATTTTGAAATGAAATATCTTTAAAAAAAAATGTTTTTATTGTTATTATACACAAAAAATACCCATAGTCTGTGTTACATACTTTCCCTGTTTAAAATTGGTTTTACAAAGCTCTTTAGCTAATGTTACTGTCTATGCCAAAAGAAAAGAGGTAGAAATTCATCAGATTTCAGATTCTATACTATAATGATCTTTTAATAGCAGGATCTTGATGAGGAGTCGATTGAATCACAAGAATCCAAATCAAAGACGGCTCAATACCTGGACTGAGAACATGTCACGGTTACGCAACAATTGTAGAAGCTAAATTGACCATCACTGAATAAAATTGCAGTTGACATTGAGTTATTGCAAAGCATTGCATATATGGCACTCTATTCATTATACATGGTGTAAGTTTGAATGAACTGAAGGATCGTTTCAAGGTGATGCTCTGTTCTTTTAAGATCAGACTTAAGGTTAAAGAATTGCCATTGGAATCAGGCATTTAAACCAAATCTTAATTCAGTAGTCAGTATGTTCAAAAGTGAAAGATTAAGATGTGGTTTGACGAAATATTTGGTTCTGGATTCTTTGCTGCACAGATGTCTAAACTCTACCTGCCCTCAGTTTTCACACTGGATCTATTTCTTCAGTGCCTGTAATGCTAGAGCTCCTGGAGGATTGTGGGAACATTATATCATTTACAAATATATAAATATAACACTAACATTTCTCAGGATTGAAGATGTTTATACTGAATGCTGTTTACTAAACAATAGTATTCAGATTTCTTGTCATCATTTACTAAGATTTTACTGTAGTGGCCTGAAGAGCCTTTAGTCCTTTCAGACTGACCTGCTGTGTGTCCATAAGAGCTGAATAAAATCCATAAAATCAAAGCAGAATACAACCAACAGCCTCATGTCTTAAAATAAATTTTTTTTTTCACATTTGTCACTTTACAACCAAAGTCCATGATGTCTAAGAAGAATTTGTTGTGATATTGAAGTGGAGCAATAATGATCCACTGTTTTAAAGATGTTATAAAGTCAGCTTTTTATCTTCCAATATTCTGCACCAGTTAATTTACTTTGAATAAATAAAATCCATTGCAATAAGGCTGACACAATTAATCGCGATTAATCGATTATTGAAATAATGGTCAACTAATATCAACAGATATTGGTTAATATCAATTGTTAACTGGAGTATTGAGACTATAAAATATGCTTTTAGCTGACAGAGCGCCCCACTTAGAGCAGTAATTATACCAACATTGCAAAAGAAACTAACAAAAAAACAATATTTTGCATTTAAATTAAAATTTTTGTCTGTCAATATGCTCCATCCAGAACTCCACAAGCGGAAAAGTTTTAGTTTCACTTGGCTTAAAGGAATAGTACACCCAAAACATGATTAGCCTTCATTTTCTACTCACCCCCATGCTGAACAACACTCTGGAGTACTTTTTTG